AAAGTGATCAATAATAATTTCAAGGGTTGGATTTAATAATAAATAATGTGATCTTATAAATTAAATTTAAAGTCAATATTTTGGGATCAGTATCAAAGAGAATATAATTGAACTGAAATAGAAGATCTAAATAGTATACCTCCTGATTTCACTGAAGAAATTGCAAAAAATGGACCATAATTGACAGCCAAATCAAACAGAAAATTAGAAACAACAGCAATCAATTCAATTGCAAGGCTAATTCTGTGAGATGATAAAAAGTGAGTCGGCCAAGGAAAAGAGGAGAGAGAACTTGTACAAATTGTAGCCAAAAATTTCTTGGAAGATGCTTGGCAAATGCCCGTGAATAAATCTATAAAGACAATGAGAAAGTTGCAAAGTTACTTTATTATAAAGTGATCAATAATAATTTTAAAGATTAGATCGAATAATAAATAACGTCTCTTGTAAATTAAATTTAAAGTTAACATTTTTTTATCAGCATAAAAAAAAATTATTCTCTTTAAATCATTTACTTTTTTACTTTTTATCTATTATAAAAATAAGTTTCAATCATTTACCTCGTCTTTTGAGAAAAAATTTTCTCAATATTTCTTATTTTTAAAGAATTTTAAATTTCAAAAAAATAATTTAGTTGACTTCTGGATGACTTAGGGATTCTTTCACCAACCTAATAAAAACTATGCCACAATGGAGGACATTGATTTAAAATTGTTTGTTTAAGGTGATACTTTCTTTTAGGAGATTGGTTGCAAAATATTTTAACAACATATATTTAGTAAGCCTTTAACGGAGTCATAACATAGTATAATGTTACATATTAAACTTTTAGTTATTTGCCCCATTCAAGTACTTAGTAGAATCATTTGTCTCCATTTCGCATTGAAGGTAACTGGATTTGTTAACTATAGTTATAGTTAAGAGATGAATTTGGATACGCCACCTTAATACATCAATAAGATTATAAGATAATCAAGATTAAAGAAAAAGATAAATAGTGTGCCTGCAGGTTTAGTGGACAAAATTGAAGAAATGGATGTCCATAACCAAATTAAAAGTAACAACCGCTTAGCTTAAATATTTCATGCCTAGTTATCTGTAACCAGAGGGATGCAATGGATATTTCTTGGAAGACAAATATGATGATTCAGAAAGATCACTTGGAGACACTTGTATGTTTACCAGACGTACAAAAAAAAAAAAATCTCACATTATTAACTAAGTAGCTACTAATTAATTCGATAAAAGCAAACAATTTGAAAAAAAAATCCATAAAACTATTGAATATTCTATCTAAAAGGAAGATTCTTTGTTAAAAAGGCATGCATCTATAAGAAAATTTAAATATTTTCATTTTATATTTCAAAAAGAACATAACTGAATCATGATTGAAGATCTAGATGATATACCTGTAAATTTCACCGAAGAAATTGTAGAAGACACAAACCCTGATTGATCCTGATTGATAACCAAATTACTTAGCTAAGCCAAAAACATTGGAAGTAGCAACGAATCAGTTCAATTGCAGAACTAATTCTGTGAGATGATACAAGAGTGAGTCGGCTAAGGCGAAGAGGAGAGAACTTGTATAAATAATAGCTGGAAATTTCACGAAAGATGCTTGGCAAATGTGAACTGAAGAAAACCCTGTCCAAGGATAGACTTAAGACACAAGCTCTATTGCTTGGGATACTGCAGGTGTTAAGAATTAAAGTTTACTTCTCATTTTAAAACTCTAAACCACCGCAAATTTCCTGGAATATATTGTAGTGGCATTGTTTTGTTTTTATTCAATAGGGCTATGATGGTCATTGCTTGGACAGAATAATAGGAGTGCAATAAAGCTGATGATGCCATCAAGACGCGGTTTGCTTTAGGTGAATGTCCAAAAAAAATGGCCCAACAAATAATGTTGAATGTTCAAAAATAGGCAAAACCATAAGTTAAGCCCCTGAACCAACCCCAGAATCGCTTTTAAGCCCCTAGACTCTAATTGATGCATTTAAGCCCCTGAACTCTACAATCCGAGCAATTTTGCCCCTCCTCTCACAGTCAACTTAACTGCTGCTAACTGCCGTTCGAGGACTGCATCGTGCGGTGAAATGAAATGTGGCTGTCTCATGCCTACGTGGCAAGCGATTTTGCATCTGGTTTGCCCACCTTGATG